ATTACAATCTTGATTACTATCTATAACACTCAAAGCGCACTTCACACAATCATATGGATGTCACATACTGGCTAGGAGAGGGTTAACATAGCTGCAGGAGCTGAACAGGCAGAACTGAAAGCCAAGGCAGGGGCCCAGAAGATGAGAAAAGTCACCAAAGAGGCCACATAAGATCACAGACTGCACAGAGGTCTATAATCATGTTTCCAGATTAAATGAAGGGCTTGCGGAGAGGGCAGAACTTGTTTAAAGCCTGAGTACAGAATGGGACAAACCAAGCGGGGAAACTGAGCTGAGGCTGAAGGCTGGGGACAGCCAGGGGCCACGGAGTGGGAGTTTGCTGCTTTTGCCCTCAAGGGCAGACACCAGGTGGTCTGATGGGTGACAGATCAGTGTCTGCCACTGCTGCACCCCAGAGCTGGATGTCCCTTCTTTTATAGGACCCAGGTGAATGGGGTGCATCATTCATTGGTCTGGTCTGTCCCCTATGCTCACTGGCCTGGTTTGCTATGGCATAACTTTGATATATCCTGTGTCCGTGTGCCCCTCATTTAGTTAGATAAATTTACAGGTGATAATTTTTTATTAGCATGGTTGATTTATTAATTTGTACCTTAGGATTTTGCTGTGCATTTGGGAGTTGGTTTTGTTTTGGGTTTTTAATAAGTTGGGTGTGTCCACACCTGGTGATTATCTGTATGCACTGACAAGTTACCAAATCATTCCGCCTCTGTATTTGTGTTCAAAATGGAGCAAACTGATATCTTATATAACATGGAGTCTTTCAGGGCAAGCACAGCCTGAAAGCTACTATTCTACAGAGTCTCCAAAAAAAAAGTATACACATTTCAGCAGTTCACCACATTAGTAAATGTCTGGAAGCTAATGGCCACCACTTTGAGCACCTCTAGTAATTGTAGAGGCCACAGGTAACTTGTATTAATCTCACAGTGTCTCATAAATTTAGTGTTAAAATATTTATACAAGTTTTTCTTTTCCTGATGTATACATTTTTTTTGGCAGACTCTGAATACAACATGGACTAACTCACAGCATCTTTAAAGGGCTTTTTTATTTATAAATTTTTGTATGCTTTAGTTTGTCATTATTTCTGTATTCAGAAAGAATGAAGATGATTTCAAATATATCTTTTATTTATTTAATTAGTTAGCTATTTGTAGTGCTAAGGCTGAAGCTCAGGGCCTTGCACATGCTGGGCAAGGGCTCCACCACTGAACTTCACCCCAGGCTCTATTTTTAAATTTAATAGGGAAATGATTTTGGGGTGTTTTATTTTTTTTTTTGTACCGGGGATTTGAACTTGGGACCTTGCACTTGCGAGGCAGGCAGCAGAACCACTGAACTAAATCCCCGGCCCGGGAAATGATTTATTTCTAAGTTCTCTCCTTACTACCCTTTAACTCTTACAAACTACAGTTGAATGGAATGGAATCTTGACTTTTACCCTTTTGAGTTCCTTGCTAACTCAACTTGAATTTTATTTTATGTAATGAATGAATTTATTGATCTATTATTGACTCCTCCTTATCCCTAACCCTACAGGACTTCTCTGCTACTCTTGAGATTTAGGTCACTTTTTTTTTTTTTCCAAGAGTCATTTTGCCTCATTTAAATTTAAGGAATAATTTTTCCTTACTTGCTACTTCAGTGGCATAAACAGAAGTATCTCCATAAACAGAAGCTTCTCATCCCTTCTGTCAGCTCCTCCAAACTTCATTGCTTTAGTATGGGAGCCAGGCGGAGGGATGGAGAATCTCAGAAGAAAGATATTTCTCTTTTTCTTGTAAAGAAGAAAAATCAGGACCTTCCTGAGTGAGAGCTCCCTCAGCAGCTGAGGTTATTATAGTAGCTGGATTAAAATGTAATGCTGCTACTTTAAGAAGTGGCTCTGCCCTTTATATGGAGAGGGCATGTTTTGTTTAATTAGCAGGCAACAGATAAGAAACAGAAGCACAAGGAAACAAACTCAGTCAGCTTCTCTAGAAGGGCAGGACAGTTTGGTGGGTGGAGGCTGGCTGGGTGACCATGTCCCAAGAACCAGCAGGGATTTAAAATATTCTGCCCCTGAAATACGATATAAAATGGCATGGTGGCTGTGGAAAACAGTATGCCAGTTCCTCAAACAATTAAAAATAGAATTACCATAGGATCCAGAAAGTCTACTTCTAGCTATATGCCCAAGAAGAATTGAAAATAAGGACTTGGAATTTTATACGTTCACAGTAGCATTTTTCACAATAGCCAAAAGGTGAAAGCAGGTGGATGAATGGATAAATAAAATGGCAACATCTTTGGGTCCTTTGGGACAAGGACGAATGGGTTCTGGTGCTACGGTTCATCTCCAACAAGAATATGGCCTGCTGGCCAGCATAAGCCATGCTAACCCTGAGCCTTTAGCACTGGGCACAGATTCGGATCTCTTCTCTGAAGCTGGCAAATCAAGTGAAATAACTGGGTTTTTTAAAATGTTTTAAAATGAAGCCCAGGGCCGGGGATTTAGCTGCCGTGGAAGCGCAAGGTCCCGAGTTAGATTCCTGATACCAAAATAAATAAATAATAAAAATGAAGCCCAAATAAGTTTAAAAACCATGCTCTTGACATATTCTCCACTCAAAATTTACATAAAACACTTTTTCACTCTAATAGCTAGACTTTTTCCTCACATAGTCCCACCATGTAGCTGCAGGTAGACTTATCTGTCTCAAGGTGTAAACATAGGGGAAAAAAGTTAACAGCATCTGCATAATATTCTCTACACACTGCTGTTGGATGGAAAATACAAAAATTAAAAAGAAAAAGAAGGAAGGAAGAAAAGGTTTCATCTTAGATTCTCACAACCTCTTTTTCCACAGACATGAATCCACCTCTGATGCTAAGGTAGTGGGTTTTTGTTTTCAGTGAAGGAGACCTGGGAAAAGAAGGATTTATCTCTTTTTCTTCAAGAATTACCAGATGGTACATGCACTTCAAATCCCCCACTCTCTCAAACTAAAGCACATTTCAGGATCATACCACCTTCCTTATAACACTGGCTGGCTACAGTGGCAAACTCATAGATCCTTCCCAGTTTGCCATTGCAGTTTTTGCAGTTCACATCTCAAACCATGTGGAAAATTCCACCCATTTTGATGGCTGAAATTCTAAAAACTCCAGTAAGTCTACTACTTTTCCAAAAACACAAAGTTAGCCCGAGGTTACTTCAGGTTTTCCATTTGTTGAGGAGACCCTGCGTGACAATGAGATGCCCAGTGAGATGCATGCTGCCAGCAGCTCTTTGCTCCTCAACTGGGATGAAGCCTAACTTCTTAAATTTATATTTATAACTTCTATCAACTTTATCCACATTCCTATTTTATCAGTTGCCATTTTTTGGTTGATTTTGACATTCTTTATTGTATTTCCATATAACTATAGGTTTAAAGTATTTTCCTACAGATTGCTTGAGTGGGATGGTGGAGAGGGAGGGAGCAAGGGAGCGGGAGAGAGAGCACACACAAGAGAGGGAGCAATTATACAATTATAATTATACATGGGCCAGGATTTAGCTCAGTGGTTCTGTTGCCTGCTTCTCAAGCTAAAGGTCCTGAGATCAATCCCCAGTGCCAAAAAAAAAAAAAAAATATATATATATATATATATATATATGTACACACATATATACACACACACACATACACACAATGGAGAAATAAGGCAACGCTTTGATCAGTGATCCAAACTAACCAATGAGGGGCAGATAGACATCTTGTGCCTCCAGAGGGGATATCCTGAGATGGACACCAAGAAAAATAGTAATTAAACAATGCTTATTCTCTTCCAGCTCTAGGGGAAATAAATACTTTAAGACCAAAAAACCTGATCCTCATCAAAACTTCCACCTAGCTTTAGTATCTGTAGATAATTCTGACCTGATCTAAGCTTCATGATGTTTTTATTTTTATTTATTTATTTATTTATTTATTTTTTTGGTACTGGGGATCGAACTTGGGTCCTTCCGCATGCGAAGCAGACAGTGAAACCACTGAGCTAAATCCCCGGCCCCATGATGTTTTTATTTATTTACTTACTTTTTGGTACCAGGGATTGAACTCAGGTCCTTGCGCTTGTGCAGTGGGCGGCAAAGCCACTCAGCTAAATCCCCAACCCTCATGATGCTTGAAAAATTCTTCTTTTAAAAAACAGTTTTTCAGCGGGCTGTGGTGGTGCAAGCCTATAATCCTGGCACTATGGTAGGCTGAGGCAGTAGGATCTCAAGTTCAAACCCAGCCTGGGCAATTTAGAGGTTAGTGAGACCCCCATCACAAAGTAAAAAATTTTAAAAGGGCCGAAATGTAGCTAAGAGTGAAGGCCCTGCATTAAATTCCCCACCTCAAAAAAGAGGAGATGTAGGACTAAAAGGTATAATAGATCATGTGAAACTGGAAGAAAAGGGGCAAAGGGGAAGGGGAAGTGGGAGGGGTAGGGGAAAGGAAAGAAGGGAATGGAATTAATATGAGAAAATGGAAAAATGGAAACAAAGTCTTTGTAAATAGGGAGGGGTGGAGGGGTTGAAGGGAGGGCAGGGGAAGGGGGAAAAATAAGAACCAAGAGAGATTATGTAAAGGTGAAAATTTCCAACGATGAATGTCATTACATTGCATACCTAAAATGTACCAATGATTAAAATGAATAATTTATAATGCAAAATAGGAAGAAAAGGTCCAAAGGGGTAGGGGTAATGGGAGGGGCAGGGGAAAGGAAAGAAGGGAAAGGAAAAATTATGAGAAATGGAAAAAAAGGAAACAAAGTCTTTATAAATAGGGAAGGGTGGAGGGGGTGAAGGGAGGGCAGGGAATGGGGAAAAAGTAAGAACCAAGATACATCATGTAAAGGTACAAGTTCCCAATGATAAACGTAAATGTATTATACACCTAAAATGTACCAATAAAAGAATTTAAGGAAAAAAAAAAGAGGAGATGTAATTCAATGCAAAGGCCCTGGAGACTCAATCCCTACTAGGTACCATTTTAAAAAAAATTTTTTACATGTAGGTCTTTAATTTGGGATTGATTTTGTGTATAGTGTGAGATTGGGAATAATTCTAAACACCCCCCCGCCCCCCATCAGCTCCTGGCTGCCTGGAAGAGGGACAGACCCAGATCTCAACGAAGAAGAGAGGCACATCAAGGGCTTTCATCCTCCACTAAAGGCCCATTCCTGCCTGATTAAGGGACCCTAATCAGCTTGGGGAGATTAAAGGCTCTTGCCTGCTGTTCCCACACCCCCGCCCTGGGCTAGGTTGGCAAGGAAGACTAGGGGGATCGACCCTGTGACTCCTTACTCCGGCCCTGGGCCCGAGCCCCAGACTTTTCGGTGAGTGCAAAGGCCTCTTTCCTTGGCCTCGGGTCCAGTCTGAGGGCGGGTGTGGGCTTGGCCTGTCTCCAGCTACCTCGAAGACACCGACCCAGGAGCGGGGGGAGAAGTGGTGGAGGAGGATAAACAGGTTGGCAACTGCTGGCAGGGGAGGCCGAAGGGGGCCTGTAGGCCGCGTTCTTGGCCCCCATCTAGTCGCGCAGGCCTGGGGAGGGGGCTTTGGAAGCGGTGACACCTCACTGGTTAAGCGGATTTTGAGAAACAAGTTTGGGGGAGAGCCCTACGGGAACTCTGGGGGGTCTCAGTCGCTCATTTTCCGGGTCTGGGTTCGCAGAAGCCGGCGATGACCGTGCGCGCCCTCCACGCGGGTGGGCTCCCCGACGCCCGCCCCACGCCCGACCTCCCGCGGGCCCTGCCCTGGCCCGGGATGCTCCGGTTTCTACTCCTGCTACTCTTCCCGCCGCCCTCTGCCTTTTCTGCCGTGTTCAAAGTGGGGGTGCTGGGGCCCTGGACTTGCGACCCCATCTTCGCCCGGGCGCGTCCGGATTTGGCCGCGCGTCTGGCCGCCGCCCGCCTGAACCGTGACCTTGCCCGGCAAGGCGGCCCGCGTTTCGAGGTCGCGCTGCTGCAGGAGCCGTGTCGGACGCCAGGGTCGCTGGGCGCAGTGTCCTCTGCGTTTTCCCGAGTCTCAGGTCTCGTGGGCCCCGTGAACCCCGCAGCCTGCCGGCCAGCTGAGCTCCTAGCCCAAGAGGCTGGGGTCGCGCTCGTGCCCTGGGGCTGCCCCGGGGCGCGGGCGGTGGGCACCACGGCCCCGGCCATGACCCCCGCCGCGGATGCTCTTTACGTCCTCCTTCGAGGCTTCCGCTGGGCTCGCGTGGCCCTGGTCACCGCCCCCCAGGACCTGTGGGTGGAGGCGGGACATGCTCTGTCTACCGCACTCAGGGCCCGGGGCCTGCCGGTTGCTTTGGTGACTTCCATGGAGCCATCGGACCTGTCTGGAGCCCGGGAGGCCCTGAGGAGAGTCCAGGACGGGCCTAGCGTCAGAGGTAGGCTCACCTGCAGGTGCGGGGGGTCGGCAGGTCGGCTGCCAGCTGGCAGCGCTGCCCGGCGAGCTGAGCCTCTGTGTTCGCAGTAGTGATCATGGTGATGCACTCAGTGCTGCTGGGCGGCGAGGAGCAGCGCTACCTACTGGAAGCCGCAGAGGAGCTAGGCTTGGCAGGTGGCTCCCTGGTCTTCCTGCCCTTCGACACTCTCCACTATGCCTTGTCCCCAGGCCCGGAGGCCTTGGCTGCTATTGCCAACAGTTCCCAGCTTCGCAGGGCCCATGACGCTGTGCTCACCCTCACGCGCCACTGTCCTCCAGGAGGCAGCGTGCTGGACGGCCTGCGCAGGGCCCAAGAACACCAGGAACTGCCCCCCGACCTCAATCTGCTGCAGGTAGATGGATCATGGAGGAGGGAAGAGGGCAGGAAGTAGCCAAATTGAGAAGAGAAGGATGGAGTCAGCGGGGACAGAACAGCAGCTCTACCTATTCTGGAGTTTCCTTGGTCACACAGAGGCTAGAGTCTTACTTGGGGTATTTTAAAATACTGGGATTACCTTCAGAGAGTAGGCAACAAGATCTCTAAAGCCTAGCTCCAAGGAGTAGAATCTAAACTGCAACATAATTTTCAGTCTGCTCCAAAAAACAACAAAAAAAACCCATTCCCAGAACCACAACAATATACAGCCCACTATAAACAGCTGGTGTTCTCAAGAAAACAGGAAAGACAGAGGATACAGATCCAGCCTTCCTGTCTCATGCAAAGGCATTTCCTCTGGGGTCTCGTCTGGTGGCCTTAACTTTTTAAGGGGCCTTGACATCTTGCAAGAACAGAAAGGTCCCATGTGGCAGTTCCCATAATTAGATCCAATATTTCTTCCCAATATCCAGCTAATACCCAGGATTCCAAGTCCCCAGAATCCCAGTTCAGATCTCCACCCCAGTCACAAAGTGGGACTAGAAACCATTAATATAGAAGGAAATTTAGACATCAGTGGGCAGGAAGTTATCCATCGGAGAGGCCATATTCAAAGGGGACTGCATGAGAGGCTATATATCAAAAGGGTTTGAAATATTCCTGCCAATTCCCAGGATGATTTGGGGTAGCCAATGAAGAGAAAAGATGGGAATAGTCACTAAGAGAATATGAGTGGGACAAGATGGAGGGAGAGTCAGGCAGCGGAAAAAGAAGGGTAGAGAAAGTGGAAAGAAATTCTCTTTATTGCTCAGTGAACTAGCTGCTCATCACTAGCTGCTCAAGCCAGACCCCAGGGACTCACTCCAATTCCTCTAACTTTGTCCCTCCACATCCAGACATCAAACTATTACTTTTGCTTACTCAAAGTCATTTGAATCCATCCTCTTTCTCCATTCTCACTGTCATTGCCCTGGTTCAGGCCACAGTACTTCCGTCCCAAATTCCAGAACATGATCTCCCAAATGCTCTCTGCCTCAACTCTTCCTTGGCCCAGGTCTTCCTCAACTGAACAATCAGCTTCAGAAACCTGACAAAACCTACTAGTCATGTCCTTGTTAAAAGCCTCCCAGTGGCTCCCAGATGGCCTTTCTGGAGCCTGGGTTGAAGATACTCATGACCCTATATGACTGCAGGTCTCTTCACACAGGACTTGATTCCTCCCTTCTCTTCTCTCTTCCATGAACTTCAGCTAGACTGGGCTACTTTGGGTTCCATAAAATTGTCCTCTTTTGCCTCTGAGTTGGTGGCTGTGTTACTTCCTTTCTTCTGCCCCACTATATAATTCTAATTTTTCCCCTGAGGGTGGTCATTACTTCTGGAAGCATCCTCCTGTTTCTCCAACTTGTGTTGGGGACCTTCATTCCTGTCCCCACACCCCAACCTCAGTCTCCCCTGCCTTCACTCATGGCATTGCTTTAATATCTGTGTCCATCTCCCAACTAGAAAAAAGGTTTCTGGAAGCAGAGACTGTCTCATACACCAACACATCTCTAGTGCTTAACACTGTGCCTGGGACTTTGAGAGCTGAGAACTGGGAACAGCACAGAGGCCCAATGAGATCAGGTGGTAACTTGGAGAGGGGAACAGAAGATAGAATTCACCCAAATGATGGGCAAGAAGGCTTTTAAGTGAATGGTAGATAATGAGATTAAAGTATATACACGGCAACCAACTGGAAGACAGAACTATCAGTGACAGTAAGAATCAACTAACAATTACTGAAAGAGCCCAGCTCCTGAAAAGAGGTCCAGTTGGTAGGGCAGACTGAGTGGCATAGCCAATCGGAAGAAAGGAAGAGACAGCTAACGGGGAGAGAGGAAGAGATAGCCAAGAGAGGAAAAGCCCAAGGGGAGAGTGGAAGAGATAGTCAATGGAATGGAATATGGAGAATCACTAATTATGAAATGGGAACAATCAGTAGTGCGGGATTTGAAGGACCCAGTGAAAGAACAGTTGGAGCCAGCGAGTTCCCATCAGTTTGTGAGCTGTGGCTCCAAGCCCTGAGGCCTTACTCTGCTTCTCCAGGTTTCCCCGCTCTTTGGCACAATCTATGATGCGATCTTCTTGTTGGCTGGGGGCGTGGTGGAAGCCCGGGCCTCCTCTGGTGGTGGCTGGGTGTCCGGAGCTGCTGTGGCCCGCCATGTCCGGGATGCTCAAGTCCCTGGGTTCTGTGGGGCCCTAGGAGGAACTAAGAAGCCCTCTTTTGTGCTGCTGGACACTGATGCGGCTGGAGACCAGCTGTTTGCCACATATATGCTGGACCCTGCCCGGGGCTTCCTGAGTTCTGCAGGGAGCCCAGTGCACTTCCCTCAAGGAGGTCCCGGACCTGGACCAGATCCCTGGTGCTGGTTCGATCCAAATGTCATCTGCAATGGAGGTGAGAGCCGGCACCTCGCTTCCACTGGGACAGTCAGCAGGGATTGTCTAGTAATGAAAGAGAGTCATCTTCTGTCCTGTATTTCTTCTCATGCCTTTGCAGATCCTCCAACCCCAGACTTGCACAGAACTCTTCTCTTGCAGGGTCCTCAAACCCTCTGGGAACCTTTTTAACATTTGAAAACTCCCCCTTGAGGAATCTGTGACTTTCCCCTTAGAGCCTGCCCTAGTTCCCATCCTCCCCATTTCCTGCAGCCTCTAGGATTTGGCACGACTATCTGCCTCCCTAGAAGGTTGGGCCTTGTCTGACCAAGGGCCTTAGTGTTCCTCCTCTCATTGTTTCTTCAGGAGTGGAGCCTGGCCTCATCTTTCTTGGCTTCCTCCTGGTGGTAGGGTTGGGGCTCAAGGGGGCTTTCCTGGCCCACTATATGAGGTGAGTAGGGGCATGAGGTAATTAGGTGGTGATCTTGCCTCTCCACCTGCCAGAAATGAAATTGTGCAGCAAAGACAGCAAGCTGGGCCCTTTCAAGAGTAGAAGAGAGGAGGGATTTTTCTTGGGAAAGGGAATAAGGATCTTGAGGGCATCTGGTTTGGGGATGGCTGCTGCCCGGTTCCTCTTCCCTGACCTAATATCATCCCTTCACCCCATCCCCTGCTGGCCTCTTCTCATGGAACTTCATCTCCTTTGTGGGAATGACCTTCTTCCCCCACAAGGCACCGGCTTCTTCACATCCAAATGGTCTCTGGACCCAACAAGATCATCCTTACTCTGGACGACATCACCTTCCTCCAGCCACAAGGGGGCAGCTTTCGAAAGGTGGGTAAAACAGGGAGCCTGCAGCTAGCTGTCTTCTCCCTGTAGTATATTTGATGCCTTTCTTGAAGCAGCTCTCATCCCAATCTCCCAATTGGGAAGCCTGGTTTCTGCCCCCTTCCCACAGGTCCTAGCTTTGTGGAGTAACCTCATCTGTGCAATGGTGGTGACAGCCTTTGTCCTGACTACTTTCCTAGGGTGACGTGAAGGTCCAACAAGACTATGACTATGTGTGTAAAGTGCTGTGCTATTGGGGAGTTATGCCATTATCATGTTCTCTAATTGAAATTCCTTCCTTTCCGCTTTTAGTCTACAAAAGTCAGCCTGACCTCAATCCAGAATTCTAACCCTAGAGCATATTCTCCCCTAGGTGGTCCAGGGCAGTCGGTCAAGCCTGGCGGCTCGCAGCATGTCAGACATTCGCAGCATCCCCAGCCAGTCTCTGGAAAGCTCCAACATTGGCCTTTATGAGGTGAGCCTGACCCCTAGCCAGGTTGAGTTCTACTCCAGTAGGGAGAGTGGTTCAGGAATGCTCAGACCCTGGGCAGAGAAGAGGCACTTTCAGTGGAGGCATGTAGGCATGTCAGATCATCCAGGCTCCAGGCAAGGGGATGAGAGACCAGGCAGGAGCTAGGGAAAGGTCATGGATTGTTCAATCCTGATGTGATTCCACATTTGGGAATCCTCTCTGCTGTAGGATTTTCCCCTAGCCATGATCCAGCCAATGGCTCCTCAAAGGCAGTCATGGTGACTCAGAAGCTGGTGTGGCCACTAAGGTCATACCTGCCATGTTGGGAGCTCCTGGACCTGCCTCCTCAGCATTTCCACCCAATTCAGATGAGACTCAGGAAGAGCAGCCCCTAGACCAGGAAAAGAAAAGAAGAGAATTAGGACACTAACTGCAGGGCCAGCACATCTGAATTGGGTAGGGTGGATGGGAGAAAATGAGAAGAGATTCAGAAAGAGCCTAAAGAAAGCTCAGCAAATCAAGAGGAGAGGGGAGATTCAGAGGTCCAGAGCTCCAGGTCATTGAGAGTGTGCAGAAGTTCCTGCTAAATCCTCTAGAGGGCATCTCGACAATTTCTCAGTGGGCACGACTGTCATTTTGGGTTCTTCATTGTATGGGATTACCCTATGCCTTGAAGACTGTTTAGTTTCTCTTACCTTTGGCCCTGGTCCCTAACTGCAGTTTTTGTGACAACTAAAAGTGTCCTCAAGTTTACTTCTAAATGTTATTTACAGGTCAATACCAAACCAACAAAACTCCCTTCTAGTCCAGACCCTATACCAGTAGACAGAACCACTTATATAATCTGCAAGGACAAGGGAGAAATAAGAAATGGAAGCACCTTGTTCATTCAAGATGACAACAGTGGATGACTGAACTGAGCTGGGTCCCTGCATAGGGTGTGTGTAGTGAACCAACCCGACAAGAGCTGAGGATAGTGAGCCCCAAAGCCGGGGCCCCGGGGAGCTGCCTATATTCCACAGATCGTTTACAATAAAGCCTGATCTTCCCAGATGCCTGACTCCCAGCACAGTGCTCTGTCACCGCAAGGGGTGATGAGAGCTGTGATGTCAATGATATTTGTGGTTGTAAAAATTCACTTTTTTTAGGGCTATTGATGTTTTCTGGGGTGGTGAGGACACCCATCTGAGCTGTTTGCATCTCTTTTCCCTAAATATGTTCTCTTACCCAGTTAGCTGTGAAGCAGACAGATAGCAACCTCCTCACTCCTGGTGCCCTCTGTCACGTGTGAGAAGTGTTCTAGGACAATGGACGAATGGAAATGTGGGCTTCTAAGCTTCTTGCCTTATGGGATTTTAGGAGACTGAGTTCCAAAACCCTACCCTCTCTGCTGCAGGGAGACTGGGTTTGGCTGAAGAAATTCCCGGGGGATCATCATGTAGCTATCCGCTCAGCGACCAAGACGGCCTTTTCCAAGGTGAGGGGCCAGGTGTGATGTAGTGTGGGGTGGCCATCGAGCCCTCCCTTCTTACCTCCTCTTTGCAGCAGGGTGCAGAGGTGGGTCTTGTTAAGTATTCCCTCCACTCTAGAGCAGATAGCCCATTATTCTCTCCTGTGGTACAGGTTCTTTCCTTTGATGTTCTTATCACAACTTATTTGTGATAAATTACATGTTAATTTGTTACACAACTTATTTGTTCACCAATGGGCCGGCTTATTTATCTGCCTCCCACATAGATTGCAAGCTGGGTTAGGATTTTGCTGTGCCATTCCCAACACCCAGCACAGAATTTGGAATATTAGGCTCAGTAAATATCTGTTGAGTGAATGATAGAAAATTTAAAAATGAGTTTCCACTTCTGTCAGACCACTAGCCATATCAATGCATACTGAATAAAGTGGAAAATTGGTAAAGAGGCAATAGACTGCTTATTTGGTTATTTTAACCGTAATGTCCCTCTTTCCACCCAGTACTAAGCAGCATTGGTCTGGCCTTCTTCTCAGAGGCTTCCTACAGGAGCTCATGGTTGCAGCTAGAAAATGACTTAAGTGAACTGCCTGTACAGGTCAACCAACTAAGTCCCCTTTAGCACCATGTTCTTAAAATGAAAAAAAGCCCCTTACTGGGCAAGTGGACTCAAAAAAAGCTAGAGAGGGCACCAGTCAGCTGATTACTCCTTATTTTTCCAGCAAGCAAGGGGATTCTGGCCTGCCAAGTAGGTGTGGCTTTATTGATGACCCCTCCATGACCATGGCTTGACTGCTCAGTCCCATCTTTCCCTAACTTGGGGAGGGTGGGAGTCTCAGACAGATCTTTCACAATGATACAACACCACCAAGCAAAACAGCCTCCAGCCAGGCTTCAGGACAAGCCATCTCCCCTGTGCTCTGGAAGTAGCACAGCTTCTCCCTGGTTCTCCCCACAGACTCACCTCAGGGTCAGTGATGGTACTTTCCTTGTAAGGTGGGAGCAGTTCAAAGATTTATGGCTAATAAGTCAGATCCTACCTGGGTCCTGATCACCAGTGCAAGGTTGACTTTCTATTCACTTTGAACCCAGCCATATTCAATATTGAAACAGTGGCCTTTGACTGTAATGTGTTTTCCAAAGACATAAATATCTGGAAAAGAAAGTCCTCCCCACACTCCATACCCTACAAGCCATTTCATTCACCATCTTTACCCCATCGTTCCCATTCGGATACTCAAAAACACACCAGAAGCCTGGGGGTGTGGTTCAGCAGTAGAGCGTTTGCTTATGACGTGCTATGCCCTGGGGTTCATCCTCAGTAAGAAAAAACAAAAGCAAACAAACAAACAAACAAACAAACCTCACCGAGGGCATTGAATATCAGCCCCCTCCCCACCCAGCCTCCAGGACAGAAAATGCCCATCAACTTTCCTTTCTCAGCTTCGGGAGCTCCGGCACGAGAATGTGGCCCTCTACCTGGGACTTTTCCTGGCGGGGTCCGCGGACAGCCCCGCGGACCCCGGGGAGCGCATGCTGGCTGTGGTCTCAGAGCACTGTGCGCGCGGCTCCCTCCACGACCTCCTCGCCCAGAGAGACATAAAGCTGGACTGGATGTTCAAGTCCTCACTCCTGCTGGACCTCATCAAAGTGAGTGTGGGGGTGGGAGGGCGTCCTGTGGGCGGGGAAGAGGGGGCAGGAGGTCTGAGGGGCCGAGGCTGCCTCTTCTCCCACCCCTTCCAAGGGAATGAGGTATCTGCACCATCGCGGCGTGGCTCACGGGAGGCTTAAATCACGAAACTGCGTGGTGGACGGGAGGTTCGTGCTCAAGGTCACCGACCACGGCCACGGGCGACTGCTGGAAGCGCAGAGGGTGTTACCGGAGCCTCCCAACGCGGAGGGTAGGAGTCCCGGCTGCCTGCGGAGCACGCGGGCATCCTCCAGGATCCTCATCATTCCACCTCCCTTCCCCCTTCTTCCCATTCCACATCCATCCGTACGACTGCAGCTATGGAAAAGGCCGTTTGACCCCGAGACATTCAGAGGGTGGGCTCGTGACTGGGACACCGGGAGTTGCTAGCGGGTGGGTGTGCTTAGGTCTGGGGCTTGACCCAAGGGTGGGGTTTATGCCCAGGAGACGGAGCCTTCCCTGCCTCCCTTCACCTGAGGGTGTGGCCTACTTATGAGGGCGGGACTTGCTCTAAGTCCGCCTAGGGTTTCCGGTAGTCTCTGCAGCGCCTGGTGGTTGGCAAGAGTCGAGGTGTGGGCTTTGCCATGGGGATGGTCGTCTGCTCCCACGGCCCTCTACGAGCCTACGAGCCCACGGCCCCTCCTGCATCCCCAGGTCAGCTGTGGACAGCTCCCGAGCTGCTTCGGGATCCGGCCCTGGAGCGCCGGGGAACTCTTGCTGGCGACGTCTTTAGCCTGGGCATCATTATGCAGGAGGTCGTGTGCCGCAGCGCCCCCTACGCCATGCTGGAGCTGACACCCGAGGGTAAGGCGAGTTCGGGCCAGAGAGGCACCTTACAGTTAGGACAGAGCCAGATTGGGTCCCTGCCTGGCTCTTTTCTCTAAAGCAAAACCCAGTGATGAGACTTAATTAAGTAGAGTCTCCCTTAAAGCTCTCTTAAAGGGTCAGGACACTGGAAAGTGAAGCATTAAGTTGAGTGGAGGGCGGATGGCCCTGAGCTGACCTCAATAGCTTCTGTCCTGAACCCAACTTGCTTCCTCATAGGACAAAGCAGGTTCCTCTCTGGTTCCATGTCCATCCCATCTGATTCAAATCCAAAGTACTCATCTGTAGGACTCTGAGCAAGCTACTTGACCACCCTAAGCTGTACTTTTCTTACATACAGTGTTAGTTTCTCTGTGTCATTTTATTGACCTCTGGGGTTCAAGGACCTCTTGTTACTCCTAGTGATCCCCTTCCACACTAATCACCCTCCTCATCCACTGAAGCTCTGACTTAAGGACCCTCCGTCAGTCCCCATCTTAGACTTCAACAATCAGGCCAGGGTCAGAGGTGGCTTTTGTTCTGGGGTGCCCACCCTCATGGTCCCCCTCATGCCTCCAGAAGTGATACAGAAGGTACAGAGCCCCCCTCCGCTGTGTCGACCCTCGGTGTCCATGGACCAGGCACCCATGGAGTGCATCAAGCTGATGACATGGTGCTGGGCAGAGCAGCCGGAACTTCGGCCCTCCATGGACCACACCTTCAACCTGGTCAGGGGTTTGGGACTGGGCAAGGGCTGGGCTGGCCTCTGGGATCCCAGATCTCAAATGCTGAACTGGCTCCAGAGCCGTGTCAATTCCTAGCTGAGAACAACTACCCCTGGGAAGTATCATTTCCCATTTGTCTCTAAAAACACAATACCAAGCACCCCAGGGGTGCTTGATGATTAGAAGATAAATGGTGGTGGTGGGGATCAGAAATATAGCCCCATGGAGGGGGCCATGACAGGACCATGGCAGCCCAGGTCTTCAGCAGCTTTACCAGCTTCTCCCTTCTACCAGTTCAAAGGCATCAACAAGGGTCGGAAGATGAACATCATTGATTCGATGCTGCGAATGCTAGAGCAGTACTCCAGCAACCTGGAGGACCTGATCCGGGAGCGCACAGAAGAGCTAGAGCAGGAAAAGCAGAAGACAGACCGTCTGCTCACACAGATGCTGCCTCCGTGAGTGCCAGTGTGGAGAGGGACGGGTGGAGGGGGTAGCTGGGGCCCAGCTGGACTTAGGTAGCCTCCGTATGACCCCACTGCCTGCCATGCCTAGATCTGTGGCTGAGGCCCTGAAGATGGGAACACCTGTCCAACCAGAGTATTTTGAAGAGGTGACACTGTACTTCAGTGACATCGTGGGCTTCACCACCATCTCAGCCATGAGTGAGCCCATTGAGGTGGTGGACCTGCTCAATGACCTCTACACTCTTTTTGATGCCATCATTGGTTCCCACGATGTCTATAAGGTGGAGTGTGCGTGGAACAAGACCTCCTGACTGTCAGTTCACCTGTACCAGCTCCCAGCACACCTGCCCTAGGCCATAGCCCAATCCTCTTTCCCAGCCTTCTGTCTTAGTTTCTTCCTCCAGTCCCAGCTCCAGGCTCACCTTACAGCCTAGCTCCCTGGATGTCTGACAATGAACACTCACTTTGTGTGTTGGGAGAGGGGTGGGCTCCGCACTGAGTTGGCACAATTCCTTCCCTCAGGTGGAGACAATTGGGGATGCCTATATGGTGGCCTCAGGACTGCCCCAGAGGAATAGGCAGCGGCATGCTGCAGAGATTGCCAACATGTCTCTAGACATCCTCAGTGCCGTGGGCTCCTTCCACATGCGCCATATGCCAGAGGTGCCCGTGCGCATCCGCATCGGCCTGCACTCAGGTAGCTCTCGGCCCTCCCGGCCTCTAAACCCATCTCCCTCTTCAGGGCTCCAGATTCATTCTACAGGAGGCATTGCTGAAGTGGGCTGGGAGGCTTTCCTTGAAGAAGATGCAATTGAGAGTGTTAATTTGGGAAGCTGGTGGAGATATGAGGTGCTTGGAGCTAAAGTACAGACCCTCCAAGGGCCCTTGGGCACCATTATCTTCATCCCAGGCCCCGCCTGCCAGCCAACCTTGTGCATCTCCGCAGGCCCGTGCGTGGCAGGCGTCGTGGGCCTCACCATGCCGAGATACTGCCTGTTTGGGGACACGGTCAACACTGCCTCGCGCATGGAGTCCACTGGGCTGCGTGAGTGTGCCAGGGCCTCAAGGAGTTGGGGGAGGTGAGGCGGAGCCCTAGGGTGGAAAAATCCAGCAGAGGAACATGCCAGATGACTCCTCAGCAAGTCGTGTCCCCCACCTCACCAGCTTACCGCATTCACGTGAACATGAGCACTGTGCAGATTCTCTGCGCTCTGGACCAGGGATTCCAGTTGGAACTGCGAGGTCGCACCGAGCTGAAGGTGAGGCAGGGTCGGCCCCGCCCCCTCCTTGGGGCTTCCTTAGGGACCTGGAGTTTCTTGGTTCCACTTAGACCTACAGATCACTCATCCCTCATCCCAGTCCACCTAAGTCTCCCCTCCACTGTGTCTCTCCAGGGCAAGGGCGCTGAGGACACGTACTGGCTGGTGGGCAGACTCGGCTTTAACAACCCCCTCCCCAAACCGCCTGACCTGCAGCCGGGGTGAGGGACTGGCCTCTCGGGTGGGGTGCAAGAAATGGAGGGCTGAATGCAATCCTTCATCCCTTCTCCTTCGGACTCTGGGTCTGACCTCTGCGGAAAAGAAACAGTGTTACCTGGGAAACAGCGTTACCTGGGAAACAGCGTTACCTGGGCGGTCCTGGTTCCCATTCCTCTTCCCTGAGGGCGTTGCCTCCTCTCTGCAGGGTCAGCAACCATGGCATCAGCCTGCAGGAAATCCCTCCTGAGAGGCTCCAGAAGCTGCAGAAGGCCAGGCCAGGCCAATTCTCAGGGAAGTGAGGCCTGGCCCTGGACAGGTGCTGCTCTCCCCTTAGACTCCGGCCACGAACCTCTATGGAATGCTTACTAAGGAACAGGCAGTTCCTCCACAGCCCCAAAGCCTACCCCTGCCTGCAAAAAGCCCCACCCACGCCAGGTGTCCCGGCCCTGAGTTACTGTGCCCAGGCTGGTTCCTAAACCCAGGGATTTCCCTGGGAGGGAAGCACCTGCTGCAGGTTACTGGTTTGGTAGGTCTGGAGTGGTCCAGCAATCCAAGTTTAGGAAATTCTGTAGTTGTGACTTCCTGTGACTTCTCTCTTCTGATCCCACCTCCTCCTACTCCACAGTATAAGCCATGCCTACTCAGGATGACTCTCAGGCTGTGCATTGCACAAGAGACAGAGCTCTAGTGGGCAACACTGGCCAGAGGAGAGTGTGAAAGTTGCCCCTGGAGTTTTGTTAGAGCAGAAGTCCTGCCCACCATCCTTCGAGAACCTTTGACCCATTACCCTACCCTTTCTAGGTGAGCCCCCTTGACTCCTTTCTTCCACTTCCCTCTCAGACATTTCTCTTCCCCTTAAGATTATTCTGGAAGGCCCTTTTCCTGAAAGTGCTGCTATATGTGACCAAAAGTTGGGCCAGTACCTGTGGCTTCTGTCCAGCTCTGCCTCCAAGGATTCTGAGCCTTTTCAAGCGCCAGCTGCAAACCAGCTGTGTGGCCTTGGGAAGGTCTCACTGGATCGTCAGGCTTGGGTTCCCTTCAACGGTGGAATGACAGGGACCTAAGTGGTTTTCACTGCCCCTGTGGCCCTGCCATGACTGCTGGGATTCAGAGTGGCCGGCCTTGGCATATAGGATACTGTGGCATATATAGACAATATGGGGTCCCAATTCCTAAGGACCCTGAGCCCCCCAGGGGATGTTGGGATGGGGGAGGGTTCTCCACTTTCCAGGGCCTCTCAGGGGCCCAGGAAGGAGGATCTGAGATGACCATCCCAAAGGAGGTAGAGGCCCCATGTTCCATTGAGGCAGGGGTATTCATGTGGCCTGGGGAGGCCAGGGCTTCTGTTTAGCCTAAAAACTCCCAGAAAATTTCCTTTCCCCACTAGTCAGAAATTGGCTCCTTCCCCAGTAGACAAGACCAAGCCACTTGCTCAAGTGCAAAGAAAAGCTTGCTTTGAGGCTTTAGAGAAAGGAAATTGAACTGCACCGACCTTTACTAACCAGAACAGTGGAAGAATAAGAGTATTCTCTGTTTAACTGGGAGCTCCTGAGCAGACAGTTGAACAGAAAATCTTCTCTGCTTAAATCTTTGCAACAACACTCAGTCCTGGCAAGTGCCCCCTGAAGTTTCCTTTGTGGAACTCTGATGTGCCAGGCCTAGGCTTTGGCATATTTGATTCTTGGTGTTCTTTGCCATTGCCACAGACCCTGGAAGAAGTTAGGTGTAGCTACAGCACTCAGTAGGTAGTGAGTGTTCAGTCCCTGAAGGTAAGCAAACAGAACTGGAGGCATTACTGACAAGATATGACAAGATAGTATGGCTGGTGGAGCAGCACCATTACCTGGGAACTTGTTAGAAATGCAGAATCTCAGGTCCCACCCACACCCCCTGAATCAGAACCTGCATTGTCACAAGATCCTTCAAAATACTGTAGGAGCATAGAACCGAATGTAGGATCTCCCTAAATCTCCCAATCTCTACAATTTCATAAAAGTGACACCAGAAGCTAGTCATTAGACTTGTCTTGGTTGGCTTATGGGGTGTTTTTGTTTTGAGCTAACATTTAAAAGTAATCCTAAATCAGTATATTTAAAAAGTCTTTACAGGGCCAGGGATTTACTCAGTGGTTCCAGCACCTGCCTTGTAAGTGCAAGGTCCTGAGTTCGATCCCCAGTACCAAAAAAAAAGTTAAAAAGTCTTTATAGTCATCTCTCATTATATACAGGGGGCTGATTCCAGGACTCCTGTGGATATCAAAATCCTCAGATGCTCAAATCCCATAGATAAAATAGCATAGTATTGGCATAGAGCCTATGTACTTCTCCTGTATCCTTTGTCATCTCTAGATTACTTAATACCGGACACAATGTAAATGCCATGTAAATACTCACTACACTGTATTGTTCAGAGACTGTGACAAGAAAAAAAGTCCACACGTGTTAAGTACAGAGTCAGCGCCACCCTGCAGGCCTAACTACATAGTGTATGATACACAGTTGGTTGAATCTGTGGATATAGTGCCAAAGGATACTTAGGGCTGACTGTACCAAATTTCCCTGCTCTCCTGAAATCAAATTTCCCTCTCCCCTTCAAGTAGGGCTTATATCACCCCTCAGTCACATCAAGGAGCTAATCGCTTTGTTCCAGGATTTCACACTTCATTCTCAGGGTCCCCACTTACTCCAAGACATGAGGTTTTCTGGGCATCCCCATGTCTGGCACCTGTAGACCTTCAGTTTAGGACTCCTGGACCAATAGATGTTAAGGTTTAGGTGCTCCTGGAAACTGTCTCCCCCCCCCGCCCCCATTAATTTAATTAGTGACTTCTTCCAAAAAATAAAGAAAGGATTTAGAAGAAATAGTAAAGCCAGCATTTAAAAGTTCTGGTTGGGCCGGGGATTTAGCTCAGTGGTTTCGCTGCCTGCTGCGCAAGTGCAAGAACCCGAGTTTGATCCCTGGTACCAAAAAATAAATAAAAATAGAATAAAAGTTCTGGTTACCTATGGTAATGCCACTATACTGAGTAAAAGAGTGCAATTTTAAAAAAAATATTTTAAACTGTGTTCAAAGATGATGAGTTAAAGATTAAAACAAAACAAGAAAAACCTAACATGCACACACACCCAAATATTCAAAAATTATTTACATCGTTAAATGTCTCCTTTAAGATTTTCTATGTACTTAGGTCGTAAGGATTGAAGGACAGATTCAGCTTTGCTGGTCTTGGACCTGACAATGTGGTTGTAGCTCTCAAAATCTTACTTTTCCCTCCTTACTGCACCTGACTTCCGTCTCCTCCCCTGCCTAGGGCTAGAAGACTTAATGGTGTTTAATTCTAGGAGCCACACAGAAGTCATCCAGGAGTAGCTGCTGGAGGATTGGTGTGGGTAGGCCCAGGCAAGGCACCTGCAAGTGGAGGCAGATGAGCCAGGGCCTAAATCTGGCTTAGGGTAGAGGTGGAGTAGGCAGGAAAGGCAGGCCCCTCCACACCTTTGACTGACCATTCCCTGGCCAGCTGCTTGTGATCTCAGTAACCAGCTGTGATAGGGTCGGGGAGTGGGACCTCTACTGTCTCTCTCTTTTTGTCTCTCTGTCTCTGTCTCTTGTCTCTTTCTCTCCTCCCCCCCCCTTCCTCTCTCTCCCCCTCTCACAGTCTCTCCCCCAGTTTCCCCTTTCTACCCAACAGTTTCTCTCTACCTTTCTCTGCAGTTTTCGATATTTCTGGGACCCTTTTTCCCTAGGCCCAGTCAAGTACCAATCTTAGAGACTCTACTCAAGTCCTCAACCTTCCCAGCCACCCTGTCACTCCTGGAAGGTGGACATCTCCCAGCTCATGAGAGCAACTGGTGTGGTCACTGGCACTCCCTACCCTCAGATGTGTTTACACTACCTCGGCCAGATGGCCTGCAACGGGACCCCACATTTGGCACTGTCCTCACCTTTGGGATGGCTCCATAGCTGGGACTAGCAATGGCCAAAGCAAGGACTTCCCATAGCTGCTGCTTCAGTCTCACTGCACATCCCGGGGCTCCCCTGGCACCTTTTCTTTGTGTTGCACCTTGGGGTCTGGGTCTTGCTCTCTGGCTTTATCTGCAGTGGACCCCAGTCATCTCTCTTTGAGGAGGTGGGTTGAGCTGCTCCTTGGCAGGGATTTGTGACACTGCATTGTAGGGCTGTGTTCACTGGGATCCTCTGGACCTTGCTCAGTGGCCTTCAGGACATGTGCTGTGGTTTGGGGACTGGGATGGTGAGGGCTGAAATAAAGGTGTGCTTTCTTCCATTGCATGGTGTGTGGTTGGCCTGGAATGGTAGTTCAGACACCACCCTCCCTGGAATGCCCAGGAAGGGTTTCAGATAGACGTGAACTTGAGCAGAGGGAGATGAACAGCAACCTACATCCCAGCTCCTCTGTTCAGGGGAACTCCTCTGAGCGACAAGGCAGGGAAGTTCTGGGGCTTTGAGGCTCTGGAAGCAGGTGGCATGGCTTCATCCCTTGAGCGAGGGCAGGAGAGAGGAAGAAAGAAGAGTGGCGCTTGACTGACCATGACCCATGACCCACAGAAGCTATGATCTGACACTGAAGGATCAGGGCTCAGACAGAGAAGGTGAGATCCACTGGCTCTGGGACGGACCTCACTGACACCCCGAACTGTACTTGCAATCCTCAAGAGCCTGCCGCTGGAGATTAGAGCAGGACAGACCATCCAGAATCACCTTTGGATGACAAGCTCATAAATCCTCTTGGACTCAGCTGTTCCAGTCCCAATCACAATGACTTGACCTGATAATTTGCAGGGGGGATCAGTTGTCACAGCCGATCTCCTGCTGGGTGGTGGCCAAACATCCATGCCCTATTCTATTTTTTTAAATTTTTTTTTCCATGCCCTATTCTCAGTCTCTTCAGAACAGGGCGGAACTGATCCCTGACTCCCCTCTCCAGCCCATCCCAGTGGTTCCATTCCTCCAGTTCATGGGACTGCCTCAAGGACAGGGAGGTGACCTGGACCAGGCAGATGGCATTCAGTGCTGAGATGAAATCACAGGAAGCGTTTCTTCCCTCCCACCCCCATCACTTTTTTTTTTTTTTTTTGTGGTGGTGGTGGTGGTACTGGGGCTGAACCCAGGGCCTTTGCACTGAGCTACAGGATTTTTTGTTTGGTTGAGTTTTTTTTGTTTGCTAAGACATAGTCTCTCTAAATCACTAAGTTGCCCAAGCAACTTGTAATCCTCCTGCCTCAGCCTCCCAGAGTGCTGGGATTACAGGTGTGTGCCACCATACCTGTAATACCAACTGCTTGGCTACCAGTTGTCCCTTTTCTCTGAGGTTGCTACATTGAACATTTTTGCCACTCCAGGGACAGAGGACAGAACAGACAGATGGACAGAGGCTGAGTCCTGACTGCTGCTGTTGGCGCCTCCACACCTGGCTAGGTCAGAAGCCAGATCCAGCTGTGTAAGTCAGATGGGCCAGATAGAATAGGGTTTTCTGTTCTTTGCAAGTCCAAAGTGTTTGACACTTCCCGAAAGGATTCTGGAATGCAGTGAAGGTTGGACTGACTTAACAAGAAAGAAAAGATGAGAACCATGGCTTGGGAGGAAGAAAGGGGTGAGGGATAAAGATGGTTACCAAGCACTGACCCCACCAAGGAACAGTGGACCGTTTCCCTGTCAAGACTGGTCTGTTTCTAGGGAACCCAGCAGGGGAAAGGCCAGGACCTCGGAAGAGGAAATGCTCATGGCATGGATTCTCATTAGGACACTAATCCTGGCTTATCAAGGTACAATCTGCTAAACTCAGGGCAGCACTGTGTCAACATCTTTATGCCACAGGAAGCTTGGGCTTGGGAACAGATGGCTTTTTCTGATCCTGAAGCTGAGAAAGACAGAGTTATAGAGTAATATAGCTGTGATGTCTGGGTAGCCTAAAAGCCTGCGGGGGAGGCTGTTTAGCACGTTCTGGAGACTCCCCCATCCAGGCTAAAGCTGTTTCATTATCAAGGACATTCTGCCTCCCCACCCACCTGAATCTGTAATCTTGGCCCTAGACCCAGAGACAGATATGTTCTCCAAGCACATGATCCACTTATTTATTTATTTAGTATTTATTTATTGATACAGTATGGAGGAGGGGCCTTGGCACTGAGCTACATCCCCAGCCCTCCCCACCCCTGCCTTTTTGCTAAGTCACTGAATAGCCCAGGCTGGGCTTAAAATTCGATCCTCCTGCCTCAGCCTCCCAGAGTGTGGGAATTACTGGCGTCTGCCACCATACCCAGCTCTCTCATAATCCATTTTTTGGATGGTAAAACTGAGGTTTCCAGCAGAGAAATTATTTATCAAAGGCTATATGTTTGGCATATGTTAGGATAAGGGAGCAAAACCAGGTGTCCAGACTCTGGGTCTTGGTGTCTTCTACCAAGAGCACAATCAAAACTTCAAGTCAATGTCTGTGCGATTGTATTATTGAAAGGTTTGACTCAATGGGATGTGAACACGAACACATTTTACATTTCTCCAGTCATTGCTGTCCAAGGTCCAGTGCAAATGAAAACTCCAACCTCCTACCTGCTTGAAATGCCTACTCCTTCCCATGCCCACTAGGTACCCAAGTGGGAAGGTTGTGTCTGCTTCTCCATGTCTCCCGCACTCTGGCTGGCTCATCAGGAGAAGAAGGACGTGAAGGGCATCATCAGACCCTGACCCCTGAAGGAAAGGATATAAAGTAGCCTTAACTGGTCACCTGTTGAGGGGAAAATTCTGTGGTCTGGCTTTGGCTAGGTTACAGCCACTTCTGAGGGGACAACTGGGTTCCCCATGAAGCTCCAACTCCAAGTTCATGTCCCTCACCTGCATGATTCCCTCCAAGTTCCCTGACCTCATTTTGTACAGTGGTCCTTCAGTGCCCTTGGGGACTGGTTCTAGAGTCCCTGTGGATACCAAACCCTGAAAATATCCAAGTCTCTTACATAAAATTGTATGGCTTTTGCATAGAAGCCATGCACATTCCTCTGTAGACTTTAAATCATCTGCAGATTATTTATAATACCTAATATGTCAATCCTATACAAATTGTTTAGAAAATAATCATATGCATTGTTTAGAAAATAATGACAAGAAAAAAATCTATATGTGTCCAGTACAGATGCAGACCCCCCCTCCCCTTTTTGTGATACTGGGGATTGAACCCAGAGTCTTGGCACTAAACTACATCTCCAACTTTTTACATTTTTTTCATTTTGAGAGAAAGTCTCACTACACTGCTAAATTGTTCCAGCTGGACTCAAGCTTGTGATCTTCCTGCCTTAGCCTCTCAGAGTGCTGAGATTATAGGCATACACCACCACACCTGGCTATCCTGTATACTTTCAGTGTAAGATTGGTGGAATCCATGGATGCAGAACCTGTACATATAGAGTAATGTGTTTATTTTTATTTATTTATTTATTCATTAAGTTTATTGGTATACAAGATGATGACATTCATCATTGAGAATTTGTACCTTTACATGATATATCTTGGTTCTTATTTTTTCCCCATCCTCCTGCCCTCCCTTCAACCCCTCCACCCCTCCCTATTTATAAAGACTTTGTTTCCATTATGTGTTCTTTTTCTTAAAGAACATCTTCAAAGACCAGGGATTTAGCTCAGTGGTGCTGCCTGCCTAGCAAGTATAAGGTCTTGAGTTCTGTTACTGGTACAAAAAAAGAAAATCTTCAAAAACAGGGCTGGGGATTTAGCTCTGTGGTTTTGCCACCTGCTGCGCAAGCGCAAGGACCCAAGTTTGATCCCCAGTACCAAAAAAACAAAAAACAAAAAAACAAAAAAACAAAACCCAGACAAATTTCTGCTGGGCATAACGGCACATG